GGCTAAATTTTTGGGGGGTAAATAATTTTTAGAATAGTGATTGATGGGAGATGTGTGGTTGAAAAGTTTTTGATTTGTGTGTATTATTATTTTATTTGATGAATGTATGATTGAGATGAAGAGAGAGAAAAAATTTATGTAATGGAATGTAATATAATGGGGGGCCAAACAAGGGCTTAATAGATCCACACAAATTGATAACATGTCACATAATGGACTTGAAAATAAGCATGTGTTTGACCCCAATTACTTAGGCCATGTTGGATAAGCCCTTTTTTTCATGGAAGTTGGAAAAAAAATTCCATTTTCTTGCTTTTAGGTTGTTTGATAGGCAATAATTTCTAAACAAAATATTTTCCCACCCCCCACCCCCACGCTCCCTTATTCCTTGAATTGTGGGAAAGCATTTTCTCACCATTTTGGTGGGAAAATGTAATTTCAGGTTTCTGTGACAATTGAAACAAATTTCATAATCAATTGTAAAAAAAAAAATAATTAATTTAGTGGACAATTTCTATGTAAAACAAAGTCAAACGAACACTAAACTTTGATTAAATATTTTTTTTACTTTTTTTTTATTTTTTGGCAATGGAAACAAATTTTATAACCAATTGCTAATTTGACTTGTATCGATATTGAATACACTAGTTTGACTTTCACTTATCTCTATGCCCATGGCTAAATTTTTTTACCGATCATGTTACATGTACATTTTGTTTTACATTATTTTTAACATTGTATCACGTGTCGACACATGATTGCACAATTTTAAAAAACAAGACACTTTTCCGCCTAATACTTTTTGAATCTACACACAAGTCAACCAAGATGTAACATATGAAACGAACACTCAGCATAATTCATCTTTTATTTGTGTACATGTGAATATAAATTCTGTTGAACAAAATCGTTACTAGCACTGGCACTTGAATGTTACAAAAATGGGAACCATTCTGATCAAAATTTAATCTCTCCGTGTTGGAATACAAAGAAAAACAGAGAAAGGCTATGACTAATCCCCACCAAAATTGGCATTCCTGTTCACGAAAATAAATGAATAAATTTGAAAAAAAAAATATAACTAATTCTATGTTCTGTTCATTGGGAAAATGAAAATCTGGAATAGCAATCTGAGTACCTAGATTTGCAACTTGAGTCCTTTGCTGATTGCTGCTGGGATGAGTTGGGTGTGTTGATGATTCCAATTGCATAAACATGGAGCCAATAACCAATCCGCTTCCAATTTTTTCTCTAACAACTCTCTCCCGCACATCGAACGACCAAAATCCAGCTATTCCATCAATGAAATCTTCAATTATAACCTTGATGAACAAGAACATCCCAAGCCAAACTGCAAATTTGGCCATTTTTCTCCTTTTTTTCTCTGTTTTCACTCCGTTGACCAAATTGACAACACAAGCAATGGCATATAGAGGAAACCAAAAATACCAATCTGAAAACAATTGAAATGAAATAACAAACATGGAATTATGACAGAAATGAAAAAAAAAAAGTCAAAAACAATTGGGGGTATTGGTGACCTGACCTGGATCGTTTAATTGAAAAGATGCAGATAGAGCAAAATGGAAAGCCATTAACATAGAGCAAAAGCGCAGTGATAGATTACTGCCTGCGGCCATTAGGTATTGATCGCGGACTGCAGTGGTTGAGGATTGGGATATAGAGAGAAGAACGGATTGTATTCAATCAGTCTCGTGTGATTAGAATAATATTTATTTAATTCAATTAAGGAGGCAGACAAATTTCACTTTTGTCGATAAACAATTCTTGATTAGCAGCAGAGTTGAGTTGATGCATGGAAATGAAGAAGCATCGAATTTGGAAGAACTTTGCGTTTTATTGTTTAATCAAAAACCAATTAAAAAAAAAAGGACTAACAGTAATCTCAAGTTTATAAGTAACAAAAAGGGTGATTCAGATTATATTGCGTCGAAGTTTGAGGAATGAAATTGATCTGATTAAAACTATGATGAAATTGTGAGTCTCGACATCTTTATCTTGTTGAATCAGTCAAAGTTATGTGTTGCGTTTTTTTATCGCAAGTGTACGATATCGTAACAAGCAATAAAGTGGACATTTGAATTTGGATCATCGTTCACACGATAACTATACTTTAGAACTAATTAAATTTTTCTAACTGCTATTTGATGAAAGTAAACAAAGAGTTATGCGTTGATGTTGATTTTTTATTCAAATAGTATAATTTAATTAAAATGCACACAAAAATTGGTTAAGATTTCAAATAATGGATGAAAATTAAGGATGAACAATTTCACAAATTGATCACCTTTAAATCCTAATTCAATATTCAAGAGCCTAATGTAGTGTTCGATCGAATTCTTGTATGATATTCAATTTACTTTCCCCTCTCGAATTCTCATTAAGCCTATTTAACTATTTCAATCTCACCTCTATGCAAATCTACCTTAGTTAAACGAAATATTAATTCTGAAAATTCACATATGATCGCAATATTTAGTATAAGTATCTCTATCGTTATACTAAATTACTAAATTTTGCTATATGGTTTAAATCTCAAACTCACCTCTCGATTCATAAAAGATTTAAAAAGTCATCAAATTAATGGTCAAGTAATTTAATGTATTAAACTCATAATAAAATTAACACATGTACGATAAAATACCAAGAATCTTGAATATCGACATCTTTATCTTGTTGAATCAATCAAAGTTATGTGTTGCGTTTTTTCTATCGCAAGTGTACGATATCGTAACAAGCAATAAAGTGGACATTTGAATCTGGATAATCGTTCACACGATAACTATACTTTAGAACTAATTAAATTTTTCTAACTGTTATTTGATGAAAGTAAACAAAGAGTTATGCGTTGATGTGGGTTTTTTATTCAAATAGTATAATTTAATTAAAATGCACACAAAAATTGATTAAGATTTCAAATAATGGATGAAAATTAGGGATGAACAATTTCACAAATTGATCACCTTTAAATCCTAATTCAATATTCAAGAGCCTAATGTAGTGTTCGATCGAATTCTTGTATGATATTCAATTTACTTACCCATCTCGAATTCTCATTAAGCCTATTTAACTATTTCAATCTCACCTCTATGCAAATCTACCTTAGTTAAACGAAATATTAGTTCTGAAAATTCACATATGATCGCAATATTTAGTATAAGTATCTCTATCGTTATACTAAATTACTAAATTTTGCTATATGGTTTAAATCTCAAACTCACCTCTCGATTCATAAAAGATTTACAAAGTTATCAAATTAATGGTCAAGTAATTTAATGTATTAAACTCATAATAAAATTAACACATGTACGATAAAATACCAAGAATCTTGAATAAAAGGCATAAATGTTTTCAAATAGATTATATTGTTCACCCTAACATAAAATTTAGCTACTCATAATAAATGATGAAGAAAAATAAGAAGTTGTTATTGAATATATCACCAGATTTTGAATATAGATGTAGAAAAAGAAATAAAATTTGCACCAATATATACTTCATCTTCCAATCAATAATTCAAAATGTGAATTCCTTGTTGTTTTCCTCATTTGAATTGTGCTCTTCAATCTCTAATTGTATCTTCTATTTTTTTCAACATGTGGAACTCTTAAAATTTCCTCATTTCTTCTATTTATACTCTTCTACACGATTTTCCAATTTTTGGAATATTTCTGGACCCTAAACATCAAAACCTTAAAAACAGGCGGCGCTGCGCTTAAGCGCTAGGAAGTAGTGCCTAGGAGCCTCGATGTAGATCCGGGCAGCGCCTAAGCACTATGAGTAGCGCTGCATCTTTGTAAAATTGGCTTCTTTTGGGTAAACACAGCGCTGGGCGCTGACTCGTTGTTCCAGACTTTGAGTCTTATTCAATATTTTTGTCATAACTTTTTCTCTCGATATCCAATTAAAACGATTCAAAAAGCGTTGAAAAGATAACTCAAAATGCTACAATTTTGATAGTTCTTTTTCAATTCGAATGTTTACTGGCCAAAAATGAGTCACAATCTCCAACTAAAAATCTAGACATCCTTGTACAGTTAAAAATTGATTTGTGAAAATATTTTGGTCATATTTTCACTCATTTTGACTTTTAATCACGTCAAATTGACCCCTAATATTCTCGAATCTTCATCGTGAGTTCCGACACAACTTTTAAGTATTTGCACTTTAGTCCCCAAACTTTGAATCTTGCCAATTTTCGTTTTTTCTTTCAATTTCACTTCCATTCATCGAGTTTCACCTAATAACACATCATATAATAAATTAGGCTATATCGACGCTGAACTTACATCCACTCCTACTACCTGTATGCAATATCGCATTTGTGATTTAACACGACGTTCATCTAAAAATATCAATTTTATAAAAAGTAGAATGTCTAATCGAAATTATTCGTGTTGTTCCATTTTTTTTATGTTTTGAGGGACCAAATTACAGCAATTCATTATACGGCAAGGATCCTTCCTATGCAGCAACTCGCAATGATGATTACAACATGTTGCTTTATTTTCACAGCTCAATTGCCATCTCTAACTCCATTATTGCGCTTGTACAGCAACCTAGCAACATCCTTGGCCATAAAAAAATGCACAAAAGAAGCGAAGCAAAGCAAAGTCAAAAGTAATTCAAAACAACTTATTAGTGGTCTGCTTTTAATGCTTAGGTATGTAACTTGTGCCCCTTAATGGGGCCTATATTAATTAATTTGTCTTTGGAATTTCCATAATTAGTCGAGAATTGGATTAATGAAATAGTAGCAGCATGTAAGAACTTGGGTTGTGTTTGAAATTGTTATTATTAGGTCAAAAGCTTTCAATTTATGTTAGTAAATAGACTATAATAATTTGTTTTCGAGAAAATCGGCAATTAATGTCCTCGAACTTTTCCACTTTTCTTGTATTTGTCTCTGAACTTCGTTTTTGGACAACACTGATCGTAACTTTCCACTTTTTGGTGTCACGGTCGTCACCAGTGTAAATTGTCCAGAAAGCATGTCAAAATCAATCAAATTACCAAATGATTTTCTTGACTAATTATGTCATGTCTTAGCTAGTTTTGAACTAGTTAAAGGAGGATGGTTGTGATAGACCGAAATTTAATACGACGTAACATGAATTTCCTTTTGGGACGTCTCCTCTTACTGGCATGAGACTATGCGACAAGATCTATATCAAACGAAATAGAGAAAAATTTCAAATCAACATCAAATTTATTTAAAGATAATAATTTGTTGTTTGTTATGCTCAAATAATGTTCTCAAGACTGAGTTGTAGGTAATAAATATTGCAACAATCTTTATGATCCACTACCGTTTATTAACAATTAATATAGTGTTGATAATTGAAGCCAAGAACCTAGGCATTAAAATTGACAGTCCTGGCTTTTAGTTTTGGACATTGCACAGGAAAAAGCTCAAAAAGCAAAAAAAACCGCAGCCCCACTGCCCTTTGCATGCTTGTCTCTCTTCGATCACTCTCTGTTTGTGTGTAGGAGAGGGGAAGAATTTTCACAGGCAAAAAACAAGATATTCTCAGACCCACATTAAAAAATCAAGAAAGCTTCATCAGACAGTACTCAGGTGAAGTTACAAAAACAACCCGTATATTATCATCACTTTCTTTGATTTTAATTAAACTTTTGATATCATGTGCTTTTTTTACAGCAGTTTTTATAATTATAAAATATTTATTTATATTCACTCATCATTCCACTCTGTTAAATCGATGTTATAGTGGTTCCCTTGATGCTTGACATGAAAGCTCCATTTAATCATTTTCAGAGGGCTCGTGGATTCATAAATTAAAGCTAATGGGTTTTCAGATAGCCCTCTCAGATTTCGCTTTTGTTGGTTAGTCTTTGTGCTTTTTCTGGGGTTTCTTAGAATTCCATTCCTTGGACAAAGATTTTGAGCTAGTTGTATGAAATTAGAAGAACGTTTTGAAGAATTATGTTTGGTATTTACCCTTTTCTTGTATTGATTTTGGTTTGTGGGTTGTCTGATTTTTGAAGATCTGCATTATTGGTCATAAAGATTATGTTTTTTTTCTTTTCTTCAAGTGTTTGTGGAGAGATTCTATTGTAATGGAATTTAGCCCAGTACTTTATGTTTGCTTCTGGGATCTGAATTTCAATTTTGCAAGAACTTTTATCTGTATATCTTTCAGTCAATTGCAGAGTTTCTGTAAGAGGACCGAGGTTTAAATTCAAAATTAGACCTTTGTATTCTTTATCTTAATTGAGGATAGAGAAGTTGTTTAATCTGTGTAGAAGTAAATGTTTGTTGGAATTCTTTAGGTTCCACATTCTTGTTTTCATTTGTAAGAGCCAAGAATTGACTTAAGGTGTTGAATTTCTTGCTGAAATGGCCGAAATTAGACTTACAAGAGTAGAACAGGGTCAAACTAAGATTAAAAATGTTCCAATTGCTGTGACCCCAGAGGGATTCTGGTGTTGCCCCTCTCCTGTTGTCTTCCAAAAGTCACTCAAGACACAGAATCATCTAAACAAGTCCAAATCGTCTCCTCCGAATCCTAGTACTTCAGTTCAGAAAAAGCAAACTTTAGAAAATGAGAAAAAACCAGGAACAACAAAATCGAGGACAGGTTTTGTAAACAAGGAGCAAAGAACTTGTAGTTCGGACGCTCCTGTTCTTAATGCTTCAGAGATGAGTGAGAAGACGCCTCGACCGAAGATTGAAAATGTGCCAAGGAAGGTTTCAATTGAGTTTGGTGAATCTGGAACCAGTGATCTGAAAGTAATTTTGCTGGGAAAGCAGGGATTTGCTGTGAAACTGAGTGTTCACAGGAGTATACTAATGGACAATAGCAGTTACTTTTCCCACAAGATATCAGAACAGCAGCCTATTTTTCCCTGCCTTGAAATCGATGAATGTGAGGATGTTGAGATATATGTTGAAACTGTTGGACTAATGTACTGCAGAGAACTGAAGCAGCGGTTGATTAAACAGAGCGTTGCACGTGTTCTGCGCATTTTGAAGGTAATTTAAAAACTATCAGTGGATTTTCTCTTTAAGTTCATAGCTAAAGTTTTGATTACAACTTATAAAGATGATCCTCGTGGTAGTTCAAGTTTATCTTAGAGAATATATTTGTTCAAGCATGCACACTCAAGCAAGAATTTAGATACATTTTGTAGGCATTGCTCCAACTTTACCTAGTATGAGTGAGCATAACAATATTTTGTTTAAACAAGCTTTTAGTTAGCCCCAATTTAGCAATCAAGCAATAAATTTGTTTATGGTTATAGAACTTGAGATATTTGGTGGCCATATGGAAATTATAAAGAAAATTGGCATGTCTAATCTAATTTGAAATCTCATTGGCCTTGGTTGCATATGGTTTTACACGAAGCTCCTCCTTTAAGTTTGCAGTTAACCTAGTTTCTGTGGCAATTGGGCCGGCAAAAACCTGAAATATCTCATGATTTGTAGTTATCAATCTGGGTTTAGACATTTAATACCGTTGTCAGAATTGAATGTAGGGTGGACTAGTTCTCACTACAGCAGAGAGAGGATTTCTGAAAGCAATGCCCGAAAAACTCTTCTATTAAAACATCATTGTGTTAATCTAGATGTATACTCAGGCAATATCGTTATCAATAAGTTGAATGGAGTATTTTTATGTTTGAATTGTAGTGCAGGATAATATGCTATTGATTATTGATGTACCCCTCAAACTGTTGTAAGAAGAACAACGGCTTGTGTTTGTCTTACTTTTTATATAATTCAGCAGAAGCAGTAAGCAGTACATCATATCATTCACCAATATATCTAATACTAACTCTTTTTGGGAGACAAACTTGACCTAATTGTGTGTAATGCATGCCATAATTCTATTTCCAACTACCTTATAGGTTGCAGAACAACTTGGTTTCACATCATGCATACAATCATGTTTGGAGTACTTGGAAGCAGTCCCTTGGGTAGGGGAAGAAGAAGAAGAGAAAGTGGTTTCTTCAGTGTTGCGTCTCCAAGATGATGGCATTGGAGTCACACCCGTATTGAAACGTGTCTCTTCTGATATTTCAAAGCCACCTAAGGACACTCTCTCTCATATATTGGAGCTAGTTCTCAAGAGCAAAGAGGAGAGAGGGCGGCGTGAAATGAAATCCGTTGTACTGAAACTTCTTAGGGAAAATAACAGTCTTCCGAGCTCTTCGGGATTGTCCTACTTATGCCATGAAACACTGTATGCCTCTTGCAGAAGCTGCCTAGATTTGTTGCTATCTCTGTTCAAACAAGCTGCCGAACCCAATTTTACCAACAAACCGGTTGATTACAGAGAACCAGTGGTGAAGTCGATGGCCATACAGGCTGATAACCTCACATGGTTGCTTGAGATTTTAGCCGACTGGAAAGAAGCCGAAGAATTTGCAGTAATGTGGGCTAGACAGCAAGAATTGGTTTCACTTCATTCCAAACTTCCAATCATGTTGCGCCACCATGTAAGCATGATTACAGCAAGGCTGTTTGTTGGAATAGGAAGAGGGGAGCTTCTTCCATCTAAGGATACTCGTCACTTAATATTGCTAACCTGGTTACAGCCATTGATCAATGACTATAACTGGTTACAACATGGAAGCAGGTCATTTGACAGGAAGGTTGTGGAGGAAGGAATTGGCAGGACAATCCTCACGCTGCCTTTGGAGGACCAGCAAAGTATTTTGCTTTCTTGGTTAGAAAGTTTTTTGAAGGCTGGCGATAACTGTCCAAATCTTCAGAGAGCTTTCGAGGTCTGGTGGAGGAGGACATTCATTAGACCATATGCAGAATCAGGATATCACCAGCAGCCAGAACAGTAGTACTACAAATTCCCAACATGGAATTGTCGATGTATTTTGAATTTTAGCTGGAAGCCTAAAGATATTTCTTGAACCAATTAAATTTTGAAAGGACTGAGAAGCCTTCTAGAAGTCAAGGAGCATATGTTCTGGAGATAGAGAGAGGCCTTAAATCTGCTCGAGGGTTAACAGAAACAGTGAAACGTTTCTGTTCATCAGACTGTGACACACTATAAACTTTCCTTTTGATTGATGAATCTAAATTTTTTGCTTAATATGACTGTCCAAGTTCCGTTTTGTGTGCGTTTGAAATTAGTTTGATAGTGTAATAGTTAATCCAATGTAAGGAATATTCAGTAATGCAATGACGAAGTTTGAGTTCCCAAATCTTTTTAAACTTGTCTTTCAGACAGCATCAATGGCAGGTCTATAATCTAAATGCTAACTATATTGTCTTTTTCACATTTGTTCAAGTACTTGTTCTGTAATTGTACATTGCAGTTGCAGTTGCTCGTTCGAATTGTTGTGTTTGTGTTTGTTATAATTTCGCCAAGTGTGAATTGCATTAGGCTTAGCTGGTTGGCCTTTACCTTGCAATGAAACTTTGATGACGAACTAGGCACCTGTGTTCTGTTGAGCTCCAATTGCTGGAACTTTAATCTGAAGACATGGCAGATTTTACAAGGACAGGTATAAAAATGTTACAGGAGCAAGAATCAATTTCAATTTGTTGGCTCAGCCCACCACATTTCTCCATGACTCGTCTTGTCCTGTAGACTGGTTTCAAGTTGGACTAGGATTTGACAGACTAGGCACACGAGTCAAGCCTGCACACCACCTTCATCATGAGCGAGATGGCCAATTCTGTAAAACTTGATCCAACTAGCCTAACAACAGCATGGCTTATTAATTTCTTCAACTGTTCAACATGTTCTTGAATTTTTTACTTTTAAAACAAAACTCTTTAATTCCCACATTCATTTTCAATCTCACGTTCATACAATAAAATATTTTGCACGTAAACCTAAAAATTTTCTTCATTTTTTAATCCCACATTCTTCAAAAAATCACTATTCAAAATATCATTTTTATCACTAAAGGCAATCAAACAGGGGCTAAATATTCTGGGATTTTGAAATCTGGAAAAAAACTCAGAAATTAATATGTGCGGTGGTCCCTTATTTTGTGGAAATGAAAATGGGTTAGTTTCACAAATGGTCACTGAAGTTACCTGAAAATTCCAAAACGGTCACTGAAGTTTCACAGTTTCAGAAACGGTCACTGAAGTTTGAAATTTCTTTCAAAA